CCCGGGCCCGGGGGTCCCCCCGCGCTGTCCTAGCGGTGCTCACCCGGACCCTCCCGGCGCAACTGCGGGAGAGGACCTGGAAGCGGGGCGACCCAAAGGGTCCTGAAAGCCGCGCCCCGCCGTAGGCGCTCCCGTCGCCGGCTCCTCCGGAACAAAGGCGCGGGGCGGGGCAAGCGCGCCCAGGGACCCCGGGGATGGGGTGAGGGAGCAGCCCCCCTGGGGCTCCTGGAAGATCGGGCCCGGCAGCTTGGGGCAGGGGGTGCGGGCTAATGAGGGAGACGGGCTGGGGTCCTCGCCAGCTCTGCCTGCGGTAAAGTAGGGGAGGGGTACACCCATCCGTGGGCTTGGAAGCCAGGAGCCTGGAGGTCTGCCAGAGCCTCTGAAGCGGCACCCCTGTGGCGGCCTGTCATCCAAGAGCTGTCATTCTGCCACTCAACGGATCCTCCCTCCCAGCTCTGCCAAACAAGACGCTCCTGAACTTGAACGGTGGGAGGGGTGGGAGGGTCTCTAGCCGGCAGCTGCCTAAACTGTGTATGAGTAGAGACCGTGTATGGCATGGTCGCTGAACTGAATGCGACGGTCGTGAAGAAAATGAGCCACAGTGAAAGGTTTCCTAACACGCATTTAGTTCAAAAGCAAACGCCTAATGCATCCGAAGTGTTTCTGGCAGCGTTGCCCATGTTGTAAATTTCTCCAGCAAAGAAATGGGGTGGCAGTGAGAAAAGTTTAAGAAGTCCTGGGCTAGCCCACCCTGGGATGCTTGCTTCTCTTCTTCAGAGGGTGAACCTTGAACATGGCTTCCAGTGACAGGATGCGCACTCCCTCAGGGCGGTCTGTGCCATCCTCAGGCAGTTTTAAGCACTAAAGAAAAACCCAATCAAACTCACTGCCACTGTGCCCATGCCCACTCCCAGCGACCCTATACAACAGGGTAGACCTGCCACTGAGGCTCTGAGACTGCAGCTCCTTACAGAAATAGGAAGCCCCTTCTTTTTCCCTCAGCATGCCTGGTGGTTTTGAACCGCTGACCTTGGGGTTCACAGCCCAACACTTAACCTCAACACCTCCAGGGCCCCTCAAGTGTTAAAGAGGACTTCCCAAAATGGCACCAAAATCACCTCCCTCCCATGGGTTGGCCAAGGCCTCTCCCTGCTCTGGTCACCGGAGCTTACCTCCTCCCACACAGCCCCACACAGCCTCAGTCACTCTCGCTACAACCTGTTTTCCTTTCTTCGGTTGCTTCCCCATTGCCTCTGGAAATTATCTTATCCGTTGGTTTACATATCAAGCCCGGTGGGTCGCACAGTTGGCATGCTCTCTGCGGCTAATCAGAAGGTCAGGGAGATAGATGTGGCAATCTGTGTCCTCGGAGATTATAGCCTTGAAAACCCTATGGAGCCGTTCAGAGCTGCCCTTTAAAGCCACAATGAGTCAGAATCAACTAGACAGCAAAGGGGGAGGGAGGTGTTATTTATTGGCATGTTTATTTTCTGTCTGTGCGCCCCTCGAGCAAGAGCTGACCACCACTAATCCATCCCAGGAGTTGAGCCAGAACCAGTTCCCATCAGGTGGGTGTGGCTGGGGAAGGGGACTGTGGCGTTGGCTCCCACTACTCCTAGTGACCTTATGTAAAACCAAACCAAACACGGCCCCGCCCTGTGCCATCTTTTGTGTGAGCTCATGGTTTCAGCCTGTCCATCCATCTCCCCAAGGGCTCCTCCTCCCCCAACCTTGATGTTCTTGTGCAGTCATTGGTCTTTCCTAATGAGGTGTCCAAAGTCAGCTAGCGGAAAGCTCACCAGCCACCCTCTAAGGAGTATTCTAGTGGGTGGGTCCCACGACCACTTGGTTTGGTTTTTTGGCCATCAGCGGGAGTTGCTATCCTTCCCTGGAGCTGCCATCTGAAGGCATCCATGCTTTTTCTGCCTTCCTTTGTCACTGTCCAGTTTTCCCAGGCGTATGGGCCATTGGAAAACCCATGGCTTGGGTGAAGCGCCCATGAGTCCTCAAAGTGACCCCTTTGCGCTTTAAAACTTTAAAGAGTAGATTTGCCCAATGCAGTACTTGGTCTGATTTCTGGACTGCGCTCGCTGCTTTCACGGACATTGATGGTTGACCCAAGTGTGCTGAAGCCCTTGACAACTTCCATTGTTTTTCTTCCTCGATCGTGGCTACTGTTGCTGGGTGCCAAAGAGCCCATTTCAACTGCTAGCAACTTCTCGATATGTAGAACGGACTAGAACTAACCCCACCAGGGTCTTGGCTGTCATCTCGGTGTGGGTCCTGCAATAACGGGAGGTCTTTCTCATGCAGAGCCCCTGGATGGCTTCAAACCAACATTTAGGTTTGCTTAGCCACTGAGTCACCAGGACCCCTTTCATCATGGAGGGTTGTGGGTAAAAAAAAAAAAAAAAAGGAAGATGGGGGTGTCCAGTCTGTGGTCTGAGTCCTTTTAGCAGCCTGGTCCTTAGCCTTCAGAGCAACCTAGGAAGCCATAAAGGTATAACACCTGGCACCATGTCTAACAGAGGAGAGATGCACAATCCCTGTCCACCAGATGAAGAAACACAGAAGCAAACCAACATTCATTCCTCTTTGAGCCTGTGACTGAAAACAGCATCCTTTGTTCTGAACTCCCACCCCCACCCCCCAGCTCCTGCAGTCCCAAGATGTAATGTTTTCTTGGGTAACCACCTAACACGTGAGGCCAAAGCCAAGCATCACATCGACTAAAACCTCAGGCAGCTCTGATGGCCGCCTCCCGCTGCCCAGGGACAGACAGACTTGGGAACCAATACTAGATTTCTCCTAGGCTTGATCCTAAAGGCACCTTGGTGGCACAGCAGTTAAGCATTTGGGCTGCTATCCAAAGGGTGGAGATTTGGGTCCATCCGGAAATGCTGAGAAAGGAAAACCGAGCAATCGACTTCCAGTGTACATGGGGTCCCCCTGAGTCTGAATCAACTTGGTGGCAACCGGTAGAAGGAAAGGCAAGATTTGAACATATGAAGTCACTATGAGCCTTGCTTCTGGAATCCAGTCTCCAGGGAATTGGGGGTCGTGATTCAGCTTCCTGCCATCAACCATGCCACCAGCATGCTATCTACATCCTCCCTCATCTAAATCACACATACAACACTAAGCCAATGGTCGCCTCCATTCCAACCCCTCAATCATTAGCCTCCTTAGCCCTGCCATGCCCCACACCACATTTCTCCGGTCTCCTGCAAAGGTTTTGATGGATGGAAAGACAGAAATCATTCCTTGCTGAAACTCAGACACTCTGTCTCCTGCTCTATCCCACCCCCACCCTGTTTACTTTCTCATCTAGAAAATTAAGTGGAAAAGCAAATAAGCTCTCCAAGCAGGATGGGTTCTTAGGGAATTGACACTCTACTGAGATCATCCAACTCTTGCTTTCTGAAGAGCCCCCCTCAGACTGTCTCCTTAATAAGAGATTTGGAATAATGCCACATCCACTTTCTGATGCTTCTGGATCCCACCTTCTCCTCTTTGCACACGGCTTTCCCTGTCTCTCACTTTGGGCGCCCGTTCATTCTCTCAAAAGCTGTGTGGAGCGCGGCGGCAAGCACTGACGGGTTAGAAAACCAGCCAGCGGCCTTTGAGTGGACCCTAACTCTGCAACCCACTGTGTGTCCGAGGAGAACTGTGCTCCCCGGCGTTGTCAGTGGCTGAGATTTTGAAAGTCGATCCCCAGACCTTCCTTCCAAGGCACCTTTGCGTGGCCTTGAACCTCTAACTTTTAGCAGCCTTGCACCACCACCGAAGACTCCTGACAGCTACTAGCTTCTACTTGATCTCTTTGCCTCAGTTTTCTCATCTGAAAGGTGTGGAAAACAATCCTACTTAGATCATCCAAAAAACTCAAACTCACTGCCACCAAGTCAATGTTGACTCATAGTGACCCACTGGGGGTTTCCCAAACTGTGCTTAAGGGGGTAGGAAGTCTTTCTCCTTGGAACTGCTGGTGGTTTCGAACTACCAACCATGAGAATCACAGCCCAACGTGTAACCACAGCACCAGCAGGGCTCCTACTTAGGATTGTTTTATGTTGCGTGACAAAGCACTTAAACAGCATCTGGCATGTAATACACACTCAAGACATTAACTATTAATATTCTATCACAAAAATTAGTACAGCCACTGAGCCATGGCAGACTGGCTTTCAGCTCCCCTGGGATGGCGCCTTCTTAAGTATGAAATCTAAAGTTAATTTGAGTAGTTTCATCTTCTTTTATGATTTCTTTCCTCTTTTGAAGACTCAGCTCTGCTCCTGTCACCATGGAGCGCATCCTTGCTATCTGGCTCAGAAGACAGGAGCAGCCCCATCTGCTCCAGACCCCTGCATGGGTGCCGGGCTGCACCTTCCTCCTCCTCGCTCTCATAATTTTGAGACTCCCTCCTGTTTTTGTTCACTGGTCATTGGGAATTAGGCAAAGACTTACAGAGCAGATCAACTTTCCATTCACCAGTTCACACACATGTTGTTTCATGTCATCGATTGCAATCCCTTCTGTGTAGCATCACTGAATCCCACTTTTTCTCTGTGTCTCCTGTTTCTAGTTCAATTTCTTTCCTAGCCCTTCTGAACGTTGTCCTCAGGTAAATGTTGCCCTTGTGGTCTCAAATGGCTGAAGATTCTAAGGTGGGCAC